CGACCGCTTCTGCCGCGCGCTCATGGACAGCTTCGAGCGGGGCGGATGCCTCCTCACCGCCGTGGCGAGCGCGCGCCGTGCGTGTCGGCTCCGCTACCTCACAGGGGCCGCGGCGGTGTGCTACGGCGCTCCGATCACGGTGGAGCCGAGGGGAGGAGCGGAGGCGTGACCGGCTGGACGGCTGGACGCAGAGAGAGCGCGAGCGCAACTTGAAGAGAGAGGACAGCGCGTGTACGTGTGAGCCGCTGGAGGACCGGGTCGACCGTCTGTGGGCCTCGACTTCGAGAGGGAGAGTAGGGAGCTGCTGGGAGAGAGCGCTCTTGTTCCGTACACGGTGTGTGTCGCGCTCGCCCTGGGAGGAAGCGGGCGGCTGTCGTGTGTTCTCCCCCCCTGCGTTTCTGGGCCCGAGAGCCTTTTCGTCGTGTATTGATTGTGAGATACTGGGGTTGAGATTACGTGTGCATTTCGATGGACATGGTTCATGGAGCCGGAGACGCGGAGCGCGGGGGCGGTCGGCTCTGGCCTCTGCGGACTGCGCGGAACGGTGCCGGTCGTGTGGGCGGTGGGGCTGGGCGAGTCCGAGTGGGACTGTCAGGGTCCCTCCAGGGTGTGCTGTCCTGCGCGCTGGGGCGACTGCTTCGTGCGTCGCTGCCGGACCGGCGGGCAGCGCCGCCTCCCTTCGCTCGAGAACTGACAGGTTGGCGTCTGTCTGAGCAGGAGCCGACGCTCGTCGGGAGCTGTGTCATGAGCCTCGCTCCGCTCGGAGGTCCCCGCCGCGCGCACTTGCGGGTCCTCTACTTGCGGCGGGCAGCGGCGGGCGCGGGGTAAGGGTTCCCGCCCGCTAGGCGCTGCCCTCTGCGCCGAGGCTCGACCCGCTTCTCCTCAGTTCACTAGCACAAACTAAAGTACTTGGGCTCAACCTCAAAGCTGTCAGCTGGGTTCTGGCACGTGGCAGCCTGGTCCCTGGAGTGGACCGAGCGGGGAGAGAGCGCAGCGAGCTGCGTGCCTGAGCTGTGCTCTTGAAAGTCGAAATGACAAATGTAACGATTGGTCTGGCCCGGCTATACGCTCTTGCGTGTGGACTGGTCATGTTAACGGCACATGCAATAGAGATAAAGGCGCACCTCTTACAGTGCAGAGAGAGAGGGGAGACTCGAGATCCAGGCGCGGATTTGGCTCACGCAGTGAGGGCTCAGAGCGGTCGCGAGAACCGCGCCGGCCAGCAGAGAGCGTCAGACGCTCGACTCCCCTCCAGCCCGTTGGCGATCGAGCCCGAGCTGTCCAGGACCCGACACAAGACACAGACTCCAGGCCCGCCCGCCCCCGCCTCTGCGCGCTACGAACAGGAGGTGGGGAGCGGGCAGGGGCGCATGCACAGCCGCCAGTCACTCTAGAAGCCCGCGCGGCCGCCGGCGGTGGTCTGGATCGGATCGGCGGAGATGCCGGCGGCGACGAGGGCGAGCGCGAGGGCCGCGATGACGCCGCCGACGATGAGGGTGAAGGTCTGCTCACTCTGCGCGTCGATCTCGACCAGCTTTTGGCAGACGGCGGAGCGAGTGCCCGTCGAGTCGCAGTCGAGGATGCGGTAGACCCACGTCCCGGGCGAGCAGGTGTCGTCGATGAAGGTGTAGTCGCCTCCGCCGGGGCCCTTGGTCCTGAGCGGCGCGAAGCTCTCGAACGACTCGAGGTCGGCGAAGGCATCGGTGCCTGCGGAGCAGAGGCGGGGCTGGGGCGGCACGCGGCGGGGGCAGGCTGCCGAGGAGGCGCCCGGGAGGAGGGCACCTCCCTGTCGCCGCTGCACGATGAAGCCGGCATTGCCCTCCTCGTTGCCGGTGGACCACTTCAGCTCCACCTCGTCCTCGGACAGGATCTTTGACTTGAGGCCGCCGCCTGGCGGCAGAGGCGGGCCGGGCGTGAGGCGGCGCGGCGAGGGAGGCGTCTGGAGGGGGAGGAGGCCGCGCGCCAGCGCCGAGCTCCGCCGCCTGCGGGTCCATCGCGTACGGGTCGAGCTGCTTCGCCTGCGCCGCCTGCCGCGCCTTGCGCTCCTTGCGCTCGCGGTCCGCGCGGGCAATCGCCTCGGCGTCCACTTTCATCCACGGCGCAAACTCGACACCCGTCTCGGAGCGCATGCCACGCACGACCCGCTTCGCGCCCTCCGACAGCTCCTGCGTCTGCGTCACGACGTTCCCCTCTGCGTCCACCAGCTCCTCTGCGTCCTGCATCGCGAGAAACTCCTCCTCGCTCATCTCGTCCGACATTCGCACGCGCGCCGCGGCAAGGCGCAGGCCGGAGAAGGCAGCAGCTGGGGCCGCGCCGGCGGACTGCAGCGCAGGACGCGGCGCGGCGCCGGCCGCGGAGAGCGTGTAGCCGACGGAGGCGGAGGAGGAGAACACGACGGCGAAGAGCATGCTAGTACCCAAATCCCGCGAAGATACCCATAAAATTCGCAGACAACCCAAGGGAGGGATGGGATTTAGGGACATGTGTCCCGACGCACGATTTTTTTGCGATTTGTGAAATCTCCGAGTAAACCTCGCTCGCACCTCCAGGTCCGCAGCTCCCTCGCAACGCCCTCCGCCGCCCCGCGCTCTGGCGGGGCCGCGCCTTGACTGGGCCGCACGCCCCCCCCCTCCCCCCGCGCAGAAATCATGCTCAGCTACCTCGTCGCCGGCCTCTCGCTCACCGCGCCGCTCTCCAAGATCGGCAGCTCCAAGGTCGCGCGCGTCTCGTCGCCCGCGCAGATGTTCGCCGTGACGCTCATCATGGAGGACGGCTCGGAGTCGGCGATCGAATGCAGCGGCGACACCTACGTGCTCGACCAGGCCGAGGAGGACGGCATCGACCTCCCCTACTCGTGCCGCGCGGGCGCCTGCTCGACGTGCGCGGGCAAGGTGACTGCGGGCTCGATCGACCAGTCGGACGGCTCGTTCCTGGACGACGACCAGATGGGCGACGGCTTCTGCCTCACCTGCGTCACCTACCCGACCTCGGACTGCACCATCGCGACCCACCAGGCCTAACCTCCACCTCCGCAACCCTTGGCCCCCCCCCCCACCACGGAACGTCTGGTTGCGCTCAAAGCCGTGAGCGAACTGACCCGGAGCCAGGCACTAGTATCTGATGGGGACTAGTGCGGAACCCAGTCTCACGCAGGCCCTTATTCAT